TTGCCAAAACATTAAGTTCAAATACTGGGAGGCTAGTCTACTGGTAACAGAACATATTCTTAAACCTAGTGCACAAATGGTAAATCCACACTTCTGAGTTATATTTTAGTATTAACTTTTCCAGGGATAAGAAATTATTTTCATTAAGAAAATGAGAGGCCACCAGAAAAGGGCTGGAAGGAGATGCAGGCCAGCAATGGCGAGGCCATGGACGCCCAAGCTGAGGCTCTCGAGGCTGTCTTACAGCCCGCACCCCACAGGGTGCCAGCCACCCACTCCCAGCTCGGGCGGGAAGCACACTCCTGCCTGCACTGCCGAGGGTCCCAGGTGCTGCCAGCCTACGTCCAAGGCCAGGACTCAAACTGAGACCCAGACTCCAGTTCCCGTAGACCCAGCTTGAGTTCTGGCTTCAGCTCAGGTGCCCAAAGGTGCCCAGGTCCTCCCCACAGCTCTGGAGCAGGTCCCCGTTTGCCAGTATGAGGGCAGGACTGATGTGACCCTTGGGCTGCCATCTACCTGGGGCTTGGATCCCCTGTGCTATTTGTACAAATAAACCTGAGGCAGGGTCTGTCATGAAAGAGAGAGAGAAAGAAAGAGAGAAAGAAGGAAGGAAGGAAGGAAAGAAAGAGAAAGAAAGAAAGAAAGAGAGAGAGAGAAAGTGAAGAAGGAAGGAAGGAAAGAAGGAAAGAAAGAAAAAGAAAGAAAGAAAAAAGAAAGAAAGAAAGGAAAAGAAAGAAAAAGAAAGAGGAAGAAAGAAGGAAAGAACGGAAGGAAGGAAGGAAGAAACAAAGGAAGAAAGAAAGAAGGAAATCAGTTATCCTGTTAAAACGAGGTTACCTTCAAGGTGAACTGAAGTTACCATGTCAACAGGTTTCACTTTCTGGGTTGACAGTTGATAACTTTAATGAAGTTATTTATCAGTCAAAAGTTTGGAGCCAGTATGAAGAAGTGGGGGCTACATAATTCTAAGATGAGTCTTCTTGAGCCACAGACAGAAACACTTAACACCTCCTCCCACTCCCGCCAACACACACACACACACACACACACACATTCTTTAATAATTACAAAAACAATAGGAGATTCCAGGTTAATACTCATTTTATGAGATTAATTTTGAAACCCTGACCTCTGGGTTCTTCCAGATTTGTTACATGATATGGGTAGATGATACTCTCAGTTATTTTACTGACTAATTGGATTAAATAACCCAATTTAATGTCTGAGTGTATTAACCACAACTCTTAAGTCATTTTCTTGAAAAGTATTTGTCATCTTCTCCTTTTAAGGTTTTCAAATCATTTTTTACCTCTACATTCTGACAGAATTTTTTCTTCCCATTACATTGATTTGACTTTTTTTCATTGTAATTGGAGCATCTTCAATTGAATGTGCATTATAAACCTCCCCTGCCCCATCTGCCCTATGAAGTTTTTTTTTTTTTTTGTAAAATCACCACTTTTCACTCATGTCCATGAATAGATTTTGTTTTTGTTGTTGAATCACAAGAAGAATTGATAATCTCTCTCCTGTGGTTAGAGCTATGTTTCTCCTGGGGACTCTGCAACATCTAATTTAAGTGGGAGAGAATTCTGACTCTAGACCACCTTCAGACTGAAAAATTGCATTACAAAACTCCTGCCTCCCTGCCCTG